TATTTACCACTAATGATAAGAGACAAGTATCAAAATAAGAGATTAGTATGGAGAGAAAATTGTGGTGGAAAGGTGGTATGTAGTTATGGAGTGTTTTAGAAAAGCTTCTCTCGGAATTGGTGACATTTCACTAACTTTGAAAGTTTGGAGGAAAGCATTTTAGAGACAGAGAACAGCAAATGCAAAGGCCCCGTGGCAGGTAAGAGTTCCTAGGAAGTGTAAGAGGTCTACACCTAGGAAAGGCACAAGAACAGAATAAAGAGATAGTCAAAGACAACATAATGTAGTCCACAATAAGACAATTGGATTTCAATGGCTTCCAATATATTTTAAAATAAAACCCAGGAAATAGTTTAACAGGATTCTCAACTTAGAAATATCACCCTGGCTACTATGTCAATAAACTGGAGTGAGACAAGATTACAGGAAAAAATTATGTCGCTTAAACTAAAGATACAACAATAACTATTTAGAGAAATGCATAGTTTGTTTAGAAAATATTTACAAGATGCAACTGGCAAAATTTAATGGTGGCTTGTATGTTGCTATTATCATACTACCAAAGGCAGCTGGAAATTGAGCTTATAATGGCTTTAAAAAAAATGTCTTTATTTCTTCTGTGTCTAAAACGAGGTTCATCCAGCACATTCCAGGTCCTTTATTCAAATTTGGCTGAATCTACTATACATATTTAGGTATGCCTTGTCACACTCTAAGAAAGGCTGGGAATTGTGCCAGGAAAACCCAGAGCAAGGAATTACGTTCGTGGGTAACTCTTGGGGAAGATAAGCCATCCATGGGGACTGAGATAGGGAATTTCTTTCTAGAGCTGCCATTTAAGAGGGGTGAGTGCTTACCCTTAGAGCAGCTAGATAAGTTGGTTAAGAAGATTTTATTTTATCTTACGCTCACTGACCAAGTTCCTGTATGTGAGCCTGCTCCTCTTTTAATAACATCGAGTGAACTCCTGTTCTTAATCTGCAGGGATGCAGTGTCTGGAGGATGCCTATGGAAATACCTAGGCATACAGGGGCCCTCCTTGTAGGTGAGTGAACAGTGAACGCTCCTCGAGAGAATCAATGCTTTAGGGGAAAACAAGAATCTGTACGATGATGAAAAGGTCATTCAACCTTCCTCTGTAACAGTTAACTCCCTAGCAACATGAGGGATCTTAACTAGAATTTTAAGGAATATTCTAGCTCTAAAATTCTATGATTCTATGAAAATAAAAGTAAATTGAGAAGTACCAGAAAGATACATTAAAAATGATGTGGGTGACAATGTAGAGAAACAGTGATAGAATATATGCATTGTGGATACATACAACACTTGAAAGAAATAACTTGGATTTTCCTATTCTTAAGATATCAAGCTCACCTCTCTTATTCTGTGATCTGGTGAGGAGGGAGTGTACAAAAGCATTTCCACCATATACGTGGGTATATGGAGACCCGGAGACCTCGAATCTCATAAATAGACAAATAGCAGAAAGTATCAAGATGTAGTAATATTGATTTTCCATACACATTTTTTCCCACAGTAAACTAGGCAAAAAGAAAACATTAGAATCAGAGAAGGTCTAATCCCAATACGAGAATTTTTTGAGGATCATTTGCTGCTTATTTCTCTTATAATAAACTTAGATATGAAGTGTTAGTGCCTTGTTTCTAACCACAGCTGAACCTCTTATTAGCTGTGTAACCTTGGGCAACTCATTTACTTCTCTCTGCCTCAATGTGTCTCATCACGAAATGGAGATGATAATAGTACCTACCTCAAAGGTATTAATGTAATGATTAATGCATT